AAATCCCACTTGACCATGGTGAATTATTTTTTTGATATGTTGCTGAATTCTATTGGCTATAATTTTGTTGAGAATTTTTGCGTCAATGTTCATGAGGGATATTGGTCTGTAATTTTTTTTGTGGTGTCTTTACCTGGTTTTGGTATCAGGGTTATGCTGGCCTCACAGAATGAGTTTGGGAGTATTCTATCCTTTTCTATGCTCTGAAATACCTTTAGCAGTAGTGGTGTTAACTCTTCTCTGAAAGTTTGGTAGAATTCTCCTGTGAAACCATCAGAGTCAGGGCTTTTTTTAGTCAGGAGTTTTTCAATTACCTTTTTTATCTCTTCTTTTGTTGTAGGTTTATTTAGTTGTTCTGCCTCTGTTTGTGTTAGTTTAGTAGGTAGTGAGTTTCTAGAAATTTGTCCATTTCCTCTAGGTTTTCCAATTTGTTAGAGTACAATTTTTCATAGTATTCCATTATGATTCTTTTAATTTCACTTGGGTCTGTTGTGATATTGACCATCTCATTGCTTATTCAGGTTATCTGCTTCCTTTCCTGTTTTTGTTTTGTCATTTTGGCCAATGGTTTATCGATTTTATCGATCTTTTCAAAGAAACAGCATTTGGTCTTGTTAACTCTTTCAATTGTTTTTTCTATTTTCCATTTCATTTAATTCTGCTCTAATTCTTATCATTTGCTTTCTTTTGGTGCCCGACAGCTTCTTTTGCTGCTCTCTATTTGTTTGACTTGTAGGGTTAACATTTTGATTATGGCCCTTTCTCTTTTTGGATGTATGCATTTATTGCTATATATTGACCTCTGAGCACTGCTTTTGCTGTGTCCCAAAGGTTCTGGTAGGATGTATTTTCAATCTCATTTGATTCTGTGTATTTCTTTATTCTGTCCTTAATTTCTTCTATAACCCAGTAGTTTTTGAGCTAGGTGTTGTTCAGTTTCCATGTGTTTGATTTGTTTTTCCTTGCTTTTTCTGTTATTGATTTCTACTTTTATGGCTTTATGGTCAGAAAAGATGCTTTGTAATATTTTGATGCTTTGGATTCTGTTAAGGATTGCTTTATGGCCTGATATGTGGTCTATTCTGGGGAACGTTCCATGTGCGCTGTAAAAGAAAGTGTGCATGTTGGATGGAGTGTTCTGTATTTGTCTATGAGATCAAGTTGGTTGATTGTGGCATTTAGGTCTTCCATGTTTTTATTGAGCTTCTTTCTGGATGTTCTGTCCTTCACCAAAAGTGGTGTGTTGAAGTCTCCTACTATTAATGTGGAGCTGTCTATCTCTCTTTTCAATGCTGTTAAGAGTTTTTTTAATGTATTTTGGAGCCCTGTTGTTGGGTGTGTAAATATTTATTATGGTTATGTCCTCCTGGTGTACTGATCCTTTAATCATTATATACTGTCAGTCCTTATCCTTTGTGGTAGATTTTAGAGTCTAATTTGTTAGAGATTAATATGGCCACTCCTGCTCTTTTTTGATTGTTTTTTGCTTGACATATTTTTTTCCATCCTTTGAGTTTTAGTTTGTGTCTTTAAGCCTAAGGTGTGTCTCTTGTAGGCAGCATATAGATGGATCATGTTTTTTATCCATTCTGCCACTCTGTCTCTTTATTGGTGTATTTAGTCCATTTACGTTCTGTGTAATTACTGATAGTTATGAGTTTAGTGCTGTCATTTTGATGTCTTTTTTTGTGCTGTTGTTGGTTTCTTTGTTCTACTTAATTTTCTCTGCTGAGTCATTTTTCTTTATGTATTTTCTTTTCATCTTTTTCATTGTTGTTGATTTTGTATTTGCTGAGTCTTTATGTTTTTCTTGTTTTTCATTTTGATGTATAGGATTGTTAGTTTCTTTTGTGGTTACCTTAATATTTACCCCTATTTTTCTAAGTTTAAACCAATCTTTTATTTCTTTTTATCGTCTTGACTTCCTCTGCATTTGGAAGATCTATGACTACATTTTTCAGTCCCTCTTTTTTGTTTTAATGTTGTTATCTTTTACATATTGACGTCTCTGTTTCCCTATTTTCAGCATTTTAGCTTTGTGACTTCCCTGAGTTTATATCTGGTTGCTCTGTCCTGTGTTCTAGTCTTGGGTTGGTATCTGAGGTTATTGATTTTCTAACTGGAGGACTCCCTTTAGTATTTTTTGTAATTCTGGTTTGGTTTTTGAAAATTCCCTAAACTTCTGTTTATCTGGAAATATCCTAATTTCACCATCATAGTTAAGAGACAGTTTTGCTGGATATATAATTCTTGGCTAGCAATTTTTTCCCTTCAAGACTTTATATATGTTATCACAGTGCCTTCTTTCCTGCATGGTTTCTGCTAAGTAGTCTGAGCTTAGTCTTATTGACTCCCCTTTATAGATAACCTTTTGTTTATTCCTAGCTGCTCTTAAAATTCTCTGTTTATCTTTGGTTTTGGCAAGTTTGATTATAATATGTCTTGGTGACTTTCTTTTGGGATCTACCTTGTGTGGGGTTCGATGAGCACCTTGGATAGACATGCTGTCATCTTTCACAGTATCAGGGAAGTTTTCTGCCAACAAATCTTCAACAATTCTCTCTGTATTTTCTGTTATTCCCCCATGTTCTGGTACTCCAATCACTTGTAGGTTATTCCTTTTGATAGAGTCCCACATAATTCTCAGGGTTTCTTCATTTTTTAAAATTCTTTTATCTGATTTTTCCTCAAATAAGTTGGTATCAAGTACTTTATCTTTAATCTCACTAATTCTGAATTCCATTGCCTCAGTTCCACTCCTATGACTTTCTATTGAGTTGTCTAACTGAAATTTTACTGTTCATCTTCTGGATTTCTGTTTGCTGTCTCACTATGGATTCTTGCAGCCTGTTAAATTTGTCATTGTGCTTTTGTATAACCTTCTTAAGTTCCTCTATTGCTTTGTCTGTGTGTTCCTTGGCTTGTTCTGCATATTGCATTTCCTTCCTGATCTCTTGGAGAGTTCTGTACATTAATCTTTTGTATTCTACCTCCAGTAATTCCAAGAAATTCTCTTCCTCTGGATGATTTCTTGGTTCTTTGTTTTGGGAGCTTGCTGAAGCCACCATGGTCTGCCTGTTTATGTAATTTGATATTGACTGCTTTCTGCAAGCAATCAATAAGTTATTATATTTATGTTTGCTTACTGTGTCCTAGCTTCTTTTGATAGGCCCAAATAGGCCTCTCGTGTGAGCTAGTTTGATTATTGACACCTTTGAAGCTCTAACATCCTGTCACCAGATGGTTAGATCTGTTACTAGGTATGTGAGCTCAGGAGTCCATTTACTTTTCTTGTATGGATTCAGCTCAGGTGTCCAGGTCACCAAGTGTGCAGTGCAGGCTGTCACCTACTACAGTCCTAGACGGGCAGGGTTGACTGGAGTAGGCACAGGTATCTGGCTGCAGTAGGGAGTCACGCACTGAGTATGGCAGGGGGCTGACAGGTGCCCGAATGTCTGGGAGGAAAGCGCGTCCCTGTTCCCTAGAGTACGTAGGTGGGTGGGTTTTGCAGCTGGACTATGGCCCCCAACGCTCTTGGCTGTAAAGACTGGGAGGCACCACTTACTCTTAGACCCGCTGCAGGTGGCTAGGTGGCGTGGATGAAGCCACCAGTCCTCAGGTTCCTGATGCAGGTAGGTGAGGTCCCTGCTTAATGGGCAGAGTGGTGTCAAATGTCACAAACCTGCCAGTGCACCATATAGCTGATACAGTTGATGTTAGGCTTCAGGTATATACCCTGTTGTACTGCGCTAATAAGGGCCTATGCTGTTGAAATGGGTCCACACAGATCTATGCAGGGGTGAAAGGCATTCAAAGTCCGTGGACCCCTTATGCCTGTGCCTAGGGAGCTGTGCCTGCCCTGAGTTCCCAGCTTAAGGGAACTGGCAGATTATTTTTTCCTGTTTGTTAATTTGTTCCCTCTCCAAGGCTGGGAGAATAGCTCAGGGCAAGTGACGGGTGCTACTTCCGGCACAGGGGACGGAGCAATTGCTGAAGCCAGCCTGGTGCAGAGCTAGGAGGGAGCAAGTGAATGGGAGAGAGGTTCTTCCCAAACAGGGTGCTTTTTGATTCGTGTGGTAGGTTAGAAGCATGTACCTATCTTTAGCCAACTGAGCACTGCTTTTCACTGGTTCTGGAGGCTTGAGCAGAATCTCTGCTGCTCAGTCTCTCCTAAATTGGAAAACGCATCCCGAATGCCACTGCTTGCCTCACTGCACACGCCAGCAGATTAGGCCTGCAGGGTCTGGCAACTCCTCACTGCTTCTGAATCATTTCTCCCTCCGACACTCGGTCCGATTCCTCAACTTTGCCTTTGATGTTCAGGGCTTCTAGACTGTCATATATAATCGACTCACTTACTTTTTCAGGGCTTTGCTGTAAGAGGGACCAACGGAAGCATCTGACTACCCCACCATCTTGGCCCCACTTCCACAGTATACTCTTTTAAGAAATATCTACATGGGATCAAATTGCCAACAGGAACTCGAAAGATTAGCTAGGGAACCTTACGGGGCAGTGAGTTTATGTTAATAAGAGAAGCAAAACTCAGAAAAGGAGTATGAGAATGGCTGAACAACCCAAAGAATATAATCAATGTCACTAAATTGTACATGAAGAAATAGCTGAATTGGTCATGTTTTGCTGTATATATTGTCAACAACAACAAAATTTTTTTAAAAAGGGAGGGGGAACATATCATTTAAATTATAATGACTCTCTTTTGTTGTCCAGAGAAATATTAAATGCAAGTTGACAGCTAATGTAACCACAGGATATTCCAGTCACATATCATATTTGAGGTCAATAATTTAGTGCTAATCCCATGAACAGTAAAGTCCTGATCCCATTTAGCCTGATGCTGAAGTAAGAGTATAAATTCATTTCTCTCCAGCTCCTACTTTTCCAAATTTACAGCTTTGAGATTAACTGAACCAATATTTTACAGGCCTTTACAAATACATTAGGGAACAAAGGAAAGCATAAAATTGACCAAAAGTCACCTGTGCCTTGATCATTTTCTCTTGTTCTTCTGTTGTGGCCAGCAGCTGGGATGCTGTTTCTTTGTGTTTCCTGGATCAGCAATAAATTGCTGTTCAGAAATCTCAATCTCCCAGGAAAGGTGTCCCCAGAAATGACAATAACCAAATCCTGCAACCTCTTCCTACTTCCTTCATTAGATCTCTTGCTGCTGGGGAATCCAGATCTGTGGGCTGAATGGAAAATTCAACGTGAGTAGCACACTACCTCTAGGCCCAGATGTTGTTACTGCTCCTGTCACTCTTCTTAATACAATGCCCGCAATACTGTTGAATGTGCCTTTAGTTGGTGCCCCAGAATATTTTACATCCATGGGCAATAGAAACCCCTTCCTGGATCAGAAGGTGACTGGAATCAGCAAGTGGGATCGGTTGGCAGGCTCACCTGAGGTGGCGAATTGAATCTATGAAACGAGTGGACATGGGGGTGCTGCAGCAATGCAGGGATGGGCTGAATCTAGACACATCCTTCTTGCACCCTCTGAGGCACAAAATGCCAATAAGGACTGCTCTGTCTGCCAGCAAAAAAGACAAAGGTTGCAGATGACTATGGGGCAGATTCCCCAGGGGGAGGGCCCTGCACATAGCTGGCAAGTTGCCTATATTGGAAAAATGATGCCCGTGGCACCAGGGGGCTACAAATGGGTCCTCATAGTAATAGATATTTACTCTGGATTAGGCTTTGCATATCCTGTGAGAGACGCAAATGCCAAAAACACCATTAAGGGATTGGAACATAAGATACTGTAACAATTTGGTACATCAGGTTATATTTCATCAGATACCCCTGCCACACCATTCTTACAATCACTTAACTGTAAGTACAGTTCCTGAGTTCTGTGGGACTTTTCAGTAATTTGTCAAACCCAAATGGGGGAGGGATGCATGCTGAGGGGAGGGAGAGTGGCTGGTGTCAGAGATGGAGTGGTACAACAGCTTGGAGAATGTGGAAATGTGGGATATATTTGACCTCCGCCTCACAGGAATTGGTTTTGTACTGATTCTCATATTTGAAGTTATCTGTACAGTTGTACATTTAAAAAAATAAATAAATTTAGAAAACTTAAAAGGAATGGAAGGGCCCCAAATTACCAAAACCTTGTTCTCTGAAAAGACCAATAAAATATACACGTTTGTAACAGTGCAGTAAACAACTTAATATGGCCCGTTTAGCCACGCATGGTCTTGTAACCCCCACACAGTTATTGGGTAGGACTGTGCAAATAAGGTGATTGTGGCCCACCAAAGGGATTGGACAGCTTGCTAACAATGCAAATAAGGTGCATGGAAACTTTTTGGCAGTGGGACCAAGCACATAAGGTATACGGACCCGAAACAAGGGGACTGGTCAGTTTTGCCATCCCGCTAGGCTTAAAATGAGCCATCCCAGAGGCAGGAAGTGGGAGATTTCACCACTACCAAGAAGAAGAAACGGCAGCGGAGCACATCCTTTGAACCCGGGGCTCACGCACATAGAACGTCCTAGACTTAGAAGATGGAGAGAAAGAGCTATAACATTGGAGACGACGCCAGACAGCAAGAAGCAGAGGCACAGATATGGCAGCAGTAGAACTAGGAGACCAGACCAAGAATGCACAGGGTGCTTCCTGGCCCACAGAGCAAGGTGGCTACAGTGGGAGTGCCAAATCATGGAGCAAGAGAGCTCAGGGTCTTTAGGCAGGAGGCTTCCTAATGGAGTAGGGTGCGCCTAGGCACTCAGTGGCAGAGCTAAAGAGCTTTGTGACACTTGCTGGAGTTGGGCAAAGGCCAGGCCAAGGGGACGAGGGAACAAGGGACCAAGGGACAGATAGAAGCCTGCCTGTGGACACTGCTGAGAAGAGGCTGTCCTGACTGAAGAACTGTATCCTGAATCATTCCCTCATCCAGAATTGTTACCTGTTACTTCCCTAATCATTTGCTGCAGTGGCACTACTCAAAACGAGAAGAAACAGCTAAAAACATCCATTAATAATTGGAACATGGAATGTACAAAGTATGAATTTTGGAAAATTGGAAGTCATGAAAAATGAAATGGACTAAAGATCGATATTCTATGCATTAGTGAGCTGAAATGTACTGGCATTGGCCATTATGAATCGGACAATAATATGGTATACAATACTGGGAATGACAAATTTAACAGGAATATTTCAAGATCTATTCTGAAGTACAATGCTGTCAGTTATAGAACAATATCCATACACCTACAAGGAAGACCAGTTAATATGACTATTATTCAAATTTACACATCAACTACTAATGCCAAAGAAGAAGAAACTGAAGATTTTTACCAACTTTTGCAGTCTGAAATTGACGAAAATGATCAAACAATCAAGATGCATTGATAATTACTGGTGATTGGAATGCAAAAATTGGAAACAAAGAAGGATCCATAGTTGGAAAATACGGTCTTGGTGACAGAAACGATGCTGGAGATCGCATTACAGAATTTTGCAAGACCAACGACGTCTTCACTACAAATACCTTTTTTCAACAACAAAAACGGTGACTATACACGTGGACCTTGCCAGATAGAATACACAAGAATCAAATCAACTACATCTGTGGAAGGAGATGATGGAGAAGCTCAATACCATCAGTCAGAACTAGGCCAGGGGCAGACTGTGGAACAGACCATCAATTGCTCATATGCAAGTTCAAGTTAAAGATGAAGAAAATCAGAATAAGTCCATGAGAGCCAAAATATGACCTTGAGTATATCCCACCTGAATTCAGAGACCATCTCAAGAATAAATTTGACGCACTGAACACTAATAACTGACGACCAGACAAGTTGTGCAATGACATCAAGGACATCACACATGAAGAAAGCAAGAGGTCATTAAAAAGAAAGAAAAGACCAAAATGGATGCAGAAGAGACTCTGAAACTTGCTCTTGAAAGTAGAGTAGATAAAGTGAATGGAAGGAATGATGAAGTAAAAGAGCTGAAGAGATTTTAAACGGTGGCTCCAGAAGACAAAATAAAGTATTATAATGAAAGGTGAAAAGACCTGGAGTTAGAAAACCAAAAAGGAAGAACACGCTCGGCATTTCTCAAGCTGAAAGAACTGAAGAGATATTCAAGCCTGGAGTTGCAATACTGAAGGATTCTACGGGGAAAATATTGAACAATGCAGGAAGTATGGAAAGAAGACGGAAGGACTACAGAGTCACTATACCAAAAAGAACCGGTCAACATTCAACCATTTCAGGAGGTAGCATATGATCAAGAACCAATGGTACTGAAGGAAGAAGTCCAAGCTGCATTGAAGGGAATGATGAAAAACAAGGCTCCAGGAATTGACGGAATATCTACTGAGATGTTTCAACAAATGCATGTGGTGCTAGAGGTGCTCACTTGTCTATACCAAATGTGAAAGAAAGACAACTACCTGGTCTGACCCACTGAGTAAGAGAGCTGAGTGTCTTCAGGCAGGACGTTTCCTGGCAGACTGGGGTGCCCCCCAAGCAATAACTGGCAGAGCTAAAGAGCTTTGTAACATTTGCCTAAGCAGGGCAGAGGTCAGGTTGAGGGATTGAGGGGCCAAGAGGCTGAGGACCAGATAGAGGTCTACTGCAGGCATGGCTGAGAAGAGGCTGTCCTGATCAGAAAACTGTATCCTAAATCGTTCCTATCCTGAATTGTAACCTGTTACTTCCCTAATAAAACCCACAACTGTGATCATGGTCTGTGAGTTCCGTGTGGCCAATGCAAGGAATTATCGAACCCAGTGGAAGAATAGAGACTGCCGTGGGAAGTACAGCTGGTGTCAAAATCGGTAAAAAGGTTGCAGAAAGAAGGTTATGTCTCACCTCCACCTCACAGAAATTAGCTCTTGGCTGATATTGTTGATCTTGATTCTCTCACCCTTCCCTTGTGAATTAGACAAGGAGGTGTCACAAGGCCCTGAAGTCATTTTTTACATTCATATTGAGGAAGGATCAAAAGAGACGTGGCACGAATAAACAATATAAGGAATTAATGGGAGAAATGACCTAGATAAAACAGACAGTTTTTATTCTTGAAATAAACCTACAAACCTCTTTATTTCATTAAACTTAAAATCCTGGATGAATTTATAATTTTATGATCCTAATCCTGAAAAGGCAATATAGCAAGTGCATTTTATGAGTGGGCAACAAAATAAAGACATTGTAGTAAAGATTACCAACCTACTAATCGATTTTGTATGGAAGAGTTGAGCCAACAGCATCATGATAAGCTTAAGGTAGAAACATTACAAAGCAGGACAGAAAATTAAGGTTATTTTGAGAAACAATATGATCATCTATATGGAAAAAGAGATTCAAGGAACTGCCTATTTGAAAATAAAAATGCTTCCCCCAAGACACCTCTAAGCACATTTTTACATATATCCAAAAAGAAAAAGAAAAAAAAAACAAACAAACCTGTTGCCCTCAAGTCTATTCTGACTCATAGTGATCCTATATGACAGAACTGCTCCCATAGGGTTTCCAAGGCTGTAATCTTTACGGAAGCCGACTGCCTCACGAGCCTCTGTATCAGACACAGATCAACCTAACCCCCGCATTAATGCGAAACCTGGGCCAGACATCCCGTATGAAGTCTATCCTGCCGGCTCCAACTTCATTCAGCCCCGTACTAAATGCCGAACCTGAACCAGACACAGCATTCATCGTAAATACCACCTCCACTCCTTACAAGTAGAGTGATCCGCAAAGACCCCGTATCCTGACAGTCGGGATAGCCTAAATAGTTGTACAAAGGCGCGCCCTTCCTGACTGACCTCAAAAGCACCGACTCCCACCTACTTGCCCCCAAAACCACCACTCCGGCACACTTCATGGGTTCTCACTACCCCACATTCACACATCTCTCTCGACTTGTTCCAAGAACAAAAAACACACCGACCTTTTTTTCTCTTGTACCACGAAGAGTTCCGAAAAGTTGGCCTCAATTCCGTGAAGAACCTCTTCTTCTCGATCTGACGCGCTAAATCCTTGTAAACCTACGGTGGCTGGCGAGGGTCAGAGATTTTGAAGGCGAATAAACAGCAGCATTTCCGGTATTGCCATATTATCATATGTCTGCGCCCAAAGCTGCATGTCTCCCTGGAAGCGGCCATACTCGAATACCGCCGTACAATAGGCACAGTGGCTGTTTTTGAGGCAGCAGGCAAGGACTGAAGGAGCCCTGGGTGTGCACTGGTGAAGCGCCTGTCTGCTAACTGAAAGTTCCAGGGCTTCAACCTACCAGCCGCTATGTGGGAGAAAGATGTGTCAGTCAGCTTCTGTAAAGAGTTACAGCCTTGGAAACCCTATGGAGCAGTTCTACTCTGTCCTATGTCGCTGAGTCGGAATTGACAAAGGGTTTGGTTTTTCGTTTGTTTGTGTTTTAATAGTATCCCTATGAGTCCAGTCCGAATCAACAGATTTGGTTCTTTTGTTTTAGGCAAGTATAGCCTAGAGGACAGGAAGACACTGAAACTGTCCGTTTTCCTGGATTCTCTACCCTTGCCGAAAATGTATAGATTTTCAGAGACTCGAGCTTCACAAAGAAATCATGGAACGGATCCAATTGCTTTTAGCATGCTGGGCAGAAAAATAATATGGCCGCGCCTTAAAACAATATGTTTAAAAAAAAATAGAAAAAAAGTTTGGAAACACACAAGTAGGAGTTCAAGTGTCTCTATAGCTGAGACTTGTTCCTGGGAAGAGAAAACACAAACACCTTGTAAGCAGGGCAGCACGGAAATATTGTGACCGAAAACAGCTTTTAGGAAGTGGCTTTAAGGACAAGAAAAATTTTGGAGAAACTGGTATCGTATGACAGTAGCCACCAAAGGCAGGGCAAAAAAGCAGGTGGAATGAGCCGAGGATATATTTGGAGTGGAGCACAGGGAAAGGCTACTAAAGGTGAGGCCAGTAAAAGGTAAGTTGATCACCAGACCTGTCTTCCTAGTCCAGTCTTAGTAAGGTTGTGCTGATGAAACTCGTTCAGCATCATAGAAGTGTGCAAGTCTCCACTGACACCGGTGGTGGCTGCACTGACACGGGTGGTGGCTGCAATGGGCAGGAATCGAACCCCATCTCCTGCAAGGAAGGTGAGAATTCTGCCATGAATCACCATTGCCCTCAATTTACTTCTCCTTCATTGCATTTTTCAGCCAGCCGTCATTATAACACAAACAATTAAGAATGGAAAATACGGATATTATCTTGAATATACGGTATTGGAGGATGATGAGAAAAAGTCATAGGGTCAACTCAAAACACAACCCATGTGTCATCCTCACACTTGGCACTAGTTCCTGTTAATGCTGTCTCAAAAATAACATTGGATCACTCCCTCTTTTCAGTCTTCATAGCTTTACTTCATTGCTCTGAATTACTGCTTAATTTGCCACCTTACTGACCCCAACAAGTGACTATGCAACCAAAGGATTATTTAAAATTATGATATATGGGATACTCTTGGCTCAGTGCATGAAAACACTTGTTTTCATCAAGCTACAGATTTATGATTAAGGTCAGACACCTCTATTGTAAAAAACAGTGTGAGGGCAGTGTCTGACCTCCTCTAACTTCACGACGGGAAAGAAGAATCAAGATCAACAGCCCAAGGCTGAATCCTATGAGCCAGAGGTCAGACATACCTCCTCTCTCCACCATCTTTACCAGTTTTGACACCAACCATCGTTCCCACAGCACTCTCTACTTCTCTGCTGGATTCGATAATTCATTTGCAATGGCCACACAAAACTCACAGACAATACTCATCATAACGGGGTTTATTAGGGAACTAGAAGATTACAATTCAGATTAAGGAATGCTCAGGATACAGTTCTTCCACCAGGACAGCCTCTTCACACCCATGCTCACAGGCATGCCTCTCTGCGCTTCAGCCTCTGCCCTGATTGGAAAGTGTTACAAAGCTCTTTTAGCTCTGCCAGTAAGTGCTCAGAGGCACTCAGCTTTCTCGCTCCATGGGCCAAGAAGCCCACTGTGCTGTCTCCTGCCATTCTCTCCTGCCAATCTCTCCTGCCAGTCTCTCCTACCACTGTTTCTCTGCCACTGTTTCTTGCCATCTTCAGGGTTACAGGTCACTCTCTGTCTCCTGGGTCCAGGAGCTTCTCACCACAGGAACACATCCAAACTCAGCCTAGCTCTTCATTGCTGCATGTCCCCCACTTCCACTCATTGAGTGGACCAAGGCAGTCCCCTCACTGGCTCCCTTTATTTATTTTTTTTATTGTTGTAGTTAAATGAAGTTTACATTTCAAGTTAGTCTCGCATACAAAATTTTATACATACATTGTTATGTGACCCTAATTGCTCACCCCATTCTGCGACAGCACACTCCTTTCCACCCCTGATTCCCTATGTCCCTTTAACCAGCTCCTAACCCTCTCTGCCTTCCCATCTCACCTCTGGACAGAAGCTGTCACTGGCTCCCTTTAACTTCCAGTCTTGGAAGGCAGTTCCTTCTGATGCGCATTAAATTTTTCTGCCTCACTGCATCCAACAGCAAATCACTTGCTCAAAATTAAAAAACCAAAACCGTCACTTTTTTGTTCCTGAAGGTTCTTCCTTCAAATGCAGATCTCTCCTGTTCTCTCAGCAGTGGTTCTGCATGTTTTTTCAAATGCAAAATCTGGGTGGGGCTCAGGTTTTCCACCTAAGCCCCCACTCTATACACAGGGCTACTGGCTTGAAACAAAAGCCTGTGTTTCTCCAGGCAAATCCTAGTTCCCCTATTAGCATATCCAATCAAGTATTGGCTGAAGGCACAGATACATACTTTCTGTAATCTATAATACCTGATTTTCATTTCTGTTATACATTTAGGTCTGTTTTACCACACTAGGTAGGAGAAACATTCAATATCCATAGCACATTCAATTGCACACATAATCCTAAACACATAACCTTTCTAAAAAAATTCTATTTTCATCTTCTCCACACCTTGACTATCTTCCCATTCATATAGATATGTCCTTGGGACTCTGGCTGGGTGGAACAAGTAGACACGGGCTTCCTATCAATCATCCTGCTTATCAGGCCTGGCTTTTGGCCCAGGCCACTCCAGCTGCAGCTTTTCAGCCATTACAGGTAACAACAACCAAAGTAGCTAAGAATCAAAAGTTTCACTTCCCAAGCCCCTTCATTCTTTCTCTTACAAATTCCATGCTTCCATGGGTCTGAAACCATTGCTAAGAATCCTACTTCTGATGCCAACTGTAAAAATGTTGCAGGAGTGATGTCTGACCTCCCCTAACCTCACAAGAAGGAAGGAGAATCAAGATCAACAGCCCAAGGGTGATTCCTATGAGACAGAGATCAGACATACCTCCTCTGTCCACCATCTTTACCAGTTTTGACACCAACCATCCTTCCCACAGCACTCTCTACTTTTCTGCTGGATTCGATAATTCATTGTAATGGCCACAAAGAACTCACAGACAATACTTATGACAATGGGGTTTATTAGGGAAGTAAAAGGTTACATTTCAGGTTCAGAAATGCTCAGGATACAGTCCTTCCATCAGAACAGACTCTTCACAGCCATGCTTGCAGGCACGCCTTTGAAGCCTTCAGCCTGTGCCCTGATCAGGCAAGTGTTACAAAGCTCTTTTAGCTCTGCCAGCAAGTGCTCAGATGCACTCAGCTTTCTTGCTCCATGAGCCAAGAAGCCCGCTGCACCGTCTCCTGCCTCTCTCTCCTGCTGGTCTCTCCTGCCAGTTTCTCCTTCCACCATTTCTCTGCCACCATTTCTTGCCATCTTCAGGGTTACAGCTTTCTCTGTGTCTCCTGGGTCCAGGAGCTTCTCAGAGCAGGAATCCTGGGTCCAAAAAAATACATTCTCTGCTCCTGGTCGTTCTTCCTTGGTGTTGGTATGATCCTCTGATGGCTGACTTCAAGCCCAGTGGGATGGCAAAACTGACCAATCCCTTTGGTGGGCCACAGTTGCCCTATCACACAGTCCTGCCCAATCACCTGGGTGGGAGTTACACGACCATGATGAGAAAGGCTACACAAAAGCAATGCATCAAACCACACCTATAAACTCAATTTCTCCTCCTCATCTCACTAGGACTAATAAAAAGAATGATAATAACTCATTAATTGCATGTTTGTCAGGTGCTGTTCTAACTACTTTCCACAACCACCCTATGAGGCAGATAATTATTTTAAAGAGAAAATGGAGACACTGGTAAGTTAAGTAACTTGCTCAAGGTCATACACCTGGGTTGTGAAAGGGACTGAGGCCATGGTGACAGATGAAATGTGATCTTTACTAGGACCATGAGGATCCTAGTTGTGGGAGCAGAGACGGTGTGTACCAGGCATATGTATATACTGAGACTCCTTCACCTGGGATGCCAATCTTTGAGAGGTGAGTTGAGCACCTGGTCTGCAGGGCTCAAGGCAGGCCTGGCTGTGCCATCCTGAGATCCTGACTGATGAGTTCAGGAAATGGAATGATCTGACCTAGTGTAATCTAGCATCAGGATTCATGTAACTTCTGAGGGATAAGAATCAGAATGAGCACAAAGCTGATCCTTATGATATGGAGGTCAGACATACCTCCGCTCTCCCACTTCTTTACCATTTTTGACAACAGCTGTTCCCTCCACAGTAGTTTATACTTCTCTCCTGGCTTGCATAATTAGTTGCAATGGCCACACAGAACACACTCTCAGTTATGTGAAGCACATAAAACCAAAAACCAAACCTATTGCTAGGGAGTTGATCCTGACTCATAGCAACCATACAGGACAGAGTAGAACAGCCCCATAGGGTTTCTAAGGAGTGCGTGGTGGATTTGAACTGCCAACCTTTTGGTTAGTGGCTGAACTCTTAACCACTACGCCACCAGGGTTTCCCAGGAAGCATATAGATGAGGTTGAATGGCTCCCCTGAGGTGGAGAGAACATCCCTCCCTTCATCAATGTAGGACAGCTGCCAACCAGAACAGCTCTCTCAACTGCTCTCAGC